CAGTGGAACTTGAGCTCACGAGTTTGGCGATGCAGGCTGCAGAGATGCACACTACATGCATCTTACTTCAAAGAGACTTTAGCACCAGATTACAGAAAGAAACTTCAGAACTTTCTTTCATCCTTAAATTTGACACTTTACGAATGGGCCTTAACAAAGATGCGAATTACCTTAAGCATTACAAAAGATAGCTTCCTACTTATCACCCCTGATTAGTCATTCTTTGATTCAAATAGCTATTCCCTCCCTCCATCCCGCCCCTTCACCCCATCTTCTGTACTAAATCTGATATGTCAGTTTAATACAGTAAAACTCCGGTGGTCCAGCATCCAGTGGTCCAGTACGCCTGATGGTCCAGCACCAACTGCAACCCGGAAGTGCTCCGGCAGTTGCTTCAAGTTGTTAGTGTAATTGATTAACTGCGGCTGGATCCACAGCCGACAGGCTCTCAATCTACCTTTCCTCGCAGAGATGAAAGTTATTGTTAGCTCACCCTCTTTGAACTAGTATTCACATTCAGACTGTTTGTAAACCTCCCTCTCTTTCTGCAATTAATACTCACCTACAAGGGAAAAAACATTACACCACGATTCTACAGCTCTCAAACTCAATTTACCTTAGGGCCAGTGCCAGTCCTCAAAGCCTCCTGGTGGGACAGTGGGCAACCCCTTTGGCAAGACTCCAGGAGGGCGGCAGGAGTCTCTTGCACATGTCCACACCCCCACGTCTCCCCATGCATTTCCCAGCCCCACCTGCTACCCCCAGGTGATTTAACTCCCCCCTCCCACCTGCCAGCGCAGCAAGTCTAGAGTGGCTGCCACATATCCTTGTGGCCTGGGAGAGGTGTGTGCAGAGTTGTCCCATCCATAGCATGGTTTGGGGCCAACGTCAAGGGCACGGATCTGTCAGGGGGCCCCACAGCAGCCACCCCAATTGTCCCATGGATGGGATGGTTGCCCATACTCAGGTTAGTCCGCGGGACCCTTGGCAAGCTGGGGCTGGCAGCGGTGGTCAGACTCCCCTGCACTCACTGGAGTGGCAGGAGCCAGGGAAAGTGGAGCAACTGAGCCAGTCTGGAAGAAGGCGGAGGAGTGAAAAAGAAGTTGCTGGGTCACTCTGCTTCCCTGCAACTCCTGCTGCCATGGTGAGTGTGTGTGTGGAGGGCGGGGGCTGACCTTGCTGCCAACCTGCACTAGACCTCCCCCCCCAAGTAATCCCCAAGACCGTGCCCCTTGGGAGAGGGGGCTTGAGGGAAGGGATTCAATGAGACGGGGAGAGGCGTAGTGGGGCTAGACCAAGGGGCTGGGCTTGGGGGAAGGGTACAGTCACCTACCCCAGAGTTGCAGGAGCTCATATGCCAGCAAGCCTGATTGTGGAACTGCCTGGGCCATAAAGGGCCCACAAGCTGTGAGTTTGAGACCCCTTCTCTACAGTGAGAGGTGCCAATGTAAGACAGATGGACTCAAAGGGGTTTTTTATTATTTTGTTTTTCTTGAAACAACCTGACACCTGTTGAGTTTTATCAACACCCCCATTTGCATTCTTGATGTACTGCACAGTAGAGCAAGTATGTGTGTGTCTATAGTGGCAAACCTGTGTCCTATAGACATGCAGAGCAGGAGGTGACTGGCAGCGCCCTTGCAATAGAATACACCCGTGCTAGCCCTTTGACATAGGAACATGCTGGAGGGGGACTGGAGTCCCTTGTTAAAATTCTGCTATTAAACTGTAAGGAGCAGTTGGAATGATTTCCCTGCTTCTCATGGGTTACTGGAAAAACAATGGGTCACAAAAATACTTCTGATGAGGAAATGCATTGCCTACAGAATGCAATAGACTACAGCAAGCTATTTCGAAAGTAAGACATTTTCCCAGGCAAGACATCCCCATCCCTTCCACCTGAGACCCTAAAATTCTGCTATTAAACTGTAAGGAGCAGTTGGAATGATTTCCCTGCTTCTCATGGGTTACTGGAAAAACAATGGGTCACAAAAATACTTCTGATGAGGAAATGCATTGCCTACAGAATGCAATAGACTACAGCAAGCTATTTCGAAAGTAAGACATTTTCCCAGGCAAGACATCCCCATCCCTTCCACCTGAGACCCTGCTGAAGCCTGATCCTTCCAGGAGGCCAGGGAACATAGACAGTTTGGGGAAGGCAATTCCTTCCCTTGCCTACATTACACACTGCCCATGGGTAGGGGCCACTGTTGGTAAAGACAGGGGAGCACTAGGCAGA